GTCTTTATCGGATAACAAAGGCGTCAAGAAAAGAATATATGTTGCTTCTGCCATTTTATTTTCAACAGGACAAATTTTTTTCTCCGTTTGAGATAAACTCTTGATGAGAAGAGTTAATTTGTCTCAGAGAAAAGAATAATGGGATTCTCATGCCTACTTTAATAAATAACTTATTCTCATATATTAATAAATAGTTTCATGAAAGTAGGGGTGTGTGTATGAGAGAGATTTTCCAACACCATATATGCAGGGATCTTCAAGCATCAAGCAAGGAATCTCAAAGCCATTTTTGAAGTTTGTGTGAACTATGAGAGCCAAATTATGAATTTTCCCATATTCTTTATTCTAACAAATAATAAGGGACCTCGAAGAAGTGAAGGTAACAAAATACCCATTCTTTATTCCGAAAGAACATTTAGAATGTGAACAATTTTGAAATCCTTGCATGTAGTGATACATATATTAGATTCTTTGTGGATTGTGGACTCTTGATGTGATTCCAAAACAGAGCACTTCATGAGCCTAAGTTTCTTTAATAATGATGTGACACTGTTAACAGATTAAGGAAAAGACACCAATTTAGAGCATTATTAGAAGAGTTCAATTAGTCTCTATAATTATGAAGTGAGATTTGTCATTCTATTACGAATCAAAATAACTGCAACCATCAATTTGAAGCCTCCCTAATGATGTTAGATTCCTTATATATCCGCTTTGAAAACCTTGAAATATGCTCCATTAACAAAAAAAAAGTTATATCATTATTATAATTATATGGATTCTTGTCTTTATCAAGAAATGCTCTTCTCTGTTTTGTGGAGTTTTTGATGGAGATAACTCCCGCACAAGTTAATGAAAGTGCAATAATACTCATGAGATTAAAAAAAAAAATGATGGGCTGAAGGGTTTTTTTTTTTCCTGTTTGAATTAAGAACAAGAGTAATTAAACAGACCAACTCGACATGCCAAGGCTTTTAGTAAAAGAGAAAACTTGGGTACAATATTTACAAATATCTGCTGTCAAATTCTTGTATGCCCACAGATCATTGCCGAGGCAACCTCATTAGTTTGCCATTGTGGTTTTAAAATGTTGCGTTCCTCATTAGAATTTCTAACAAATTACTTGAAAACTCACTACTAAAGAGGGAATATGGTTTTGGTGCACATGACCTCTCAAAGGAATCTCTCAAACATAATTAAGGCAAACCCATGCCCACAAGACATAAAAAGTCCACTTCACAATTTCAACGATTTAATCATTCCTTTGGAAACAAAAGGAAAAATTAAACAGAATTAATTGCGGGTAAAAGTCTTTTTAAAAGAATTCAAGCCACTACTTGGAAGATCCTATGATGCATCAGAAAAATCCAATTGACTTAGATATAGTGGAAATAAAATTTGGACTATATATATCAACATTAATATACAAAGAATTGGCATCCAACAAGACGTTGCAATGATGTGAGACGTTTTATTGAGTCTGGAAGTAAATCCAAAGCATGTAGCCCATCTTTGGCTTCTAAATACCACGTTTTTCTCCTTTTTATATCCAAAATACCAGGGTGGCTTTAGGACTTGGAAACGCGCATTGTATGCTTGGTTACATTAATTTTGTATGATCAAGATTTAATTTAAATTTATTTTATATTTTAAGTTAGTTTTTATTTTAATAGACATGCAATTTAAAATAAAGATAATTTTATAATTGTCACTTTTTAAAAAAAAATCATTAAAATAAATGTACATGAGAATTTTTGAATTTGTATTGTACTTATAAGTAGGATCAAACTCGTGACCTCTCACTTAAAAGAGAATATCAATATTATTAGGTGACAACACTTTTTTCTTTGGGTGAAAAAGAAAAGCTCCTTTAATTAAACTTTAGCAAGTCAACGGCATATAAAACTAATATCTGAGTTAAAACAAAAATAAAGAAATCTTCCTCCCTGTAATTCTAGGCCTTTGAGCTCGCTGTTGTCTTACTAATAAATGAATAAAGAAGAAATCATCAAGTTTATCTCACTAGTATAAATTTAAAGAAACGATTTAAACCACCATTGACCAGTTGCATTTCTTAAATATTATTTAATTTTTTAAATCACTTGCTAAAACATGTGGTTTAAAATATAGTAATACCTCCGATCCTAATTATAAGACTCTATTTGTAGACTATAAATGAGGTCTTATAATTAAGATAGGAGATAATTTTTTAGACCGTTGGCATACACAACAGGCATAAAAGTCCGTTATTTTAGATCAGTTGTTAATGCATCTGGTCTCAAAGCTTTAGTAAGTTAATGGCATATTTTAAGAACGTATGCCAAATAAGAAAACCTTAGAAACCTTAGACCAGCTCTGGATATGTGATATAGTGTGTGTGTGTGAGAGAGAGATTATAAGAAATTTTATTTTAATTAAACATTGGGTAAGTCAATGGCGCATAAAATAGAAAAAAATGACCAAAACAACATTGAAAATAGAAAATTCTAAGAAAGGCAGCTAAAATGACAGGAAATGAGGGAAAACTGGAACAGGAATTATAAAAATATGAGAAACGACCAATTTATCATTGTGTCAGTTTAAAAAAATGACCATATTTGATCTGAAAATAACATAAATTAATAAGTTTGGAATACGGAATAACTTCATTTTCTGAGTATTGCACAAAGGCAAATAACAAATTAGTTATTTTCCCAATCATAATTTCAGTTGAAGTTTTTCCTCTTTTCCTGCTATTTGGAAGTGATAACCTTTTTTTTTTTTTGAGAAAACTAATTTGACAGTCCTTCTGGTTATCCTATGTTTTGAACCGAGTCCCTGCATTTATTTTCTTTTTTATCATATCCTTCAAGTTTGTTATGTCAAATGTGTTAATCCTTAACCTTAAAAACTGTTTAATCAGAGCTAACAAGGTTAAAGAATCCGTTAGCCTATAGACATACTCTTTCTCTCTCCTCCCTTTCCTGTCTCTCTCTCAAACGTTCTCTTCCTTCACAAGGCCCTAACTCCAATCTTGAATATGCTCTTTTAAACTGGAACCTTCAGACACTCACTTCGGCAATGTCACTTTTCCCAACCTCACCAACCAATTTCGACCAAGACTAGACTACACTGTTCCAAATCGGCTCGTCCTCCTTCATCCTCTTATCCTACAAACCACATACCTCCTCCCCCATTGTTAGATCCACACCTCTCGGGGACCTTTCTTACGATCACTTTTGAACGGCTTTGTACACGTGTCCTTTGATGTTGGTCTCACTCTCTTTGCTCCAACCAATACTACTTGTGTGAATTCACCGATCAATATTGGAAATAAGGGAGAATTGAATTTGCTGTGATTTGTTAAATGAAAAGCTTATGCTTTGGTGATGTCGTTGGCGACAACTTGATGCCATCCTCGTGCCCCAACTCACTCACCCCTTATTATACCCAGTCCTTACTCAAGTTGGTCCTTTTGAATTCACTTCAAATCCAGAATGTTAATGTTGTAATAGTTTTTGGGTGTGTCAAAAAAAGAATCTTACATTAATTGGGAATATGGGAAGATAAAAACAAACTGAGTATTAATTGTGAACAGATTTTCCTTAATAGCTCTTAAGGACAGCGTCTTTAGAACGTGACTCGGATTAACTATTTATTTACAGGTACTGACGCCAACAGTTAAATATATTACTAAGAAGCTTGGTGATACCACAATGAGAATGTTGACGAAGGGACGGAAGGAGATGAATGTGAGAGAAGGTAGGCGGTAAAGGAAGGAAGGGTCATGAAGCTTGGTTTGAAATCAAGGAAGACAAAGGGAGAGAGAGGGAGGATAAAGGGAGGAGAGAGAAAGAGAATGAGAACAAACTAATTTCAAACTCACTTTAATTTTTACATGTGATGCTTGGTCTGGTAGCGTAATGGATTTTCTTAATGTTGTTACCTCTTATTAAACAGGTTTTTAACGTTAAGGACTAACGCATTTGACTAAAGAAATATGAAAGATCTGAAAAAAAAAGAAAAGAAAATAAGTATAAGGACCTAATTCAAAACTCAAGATAACTATAAGGACTGCTAAATTAGTTTTCCCTTTTTTTTTGAATTTCCTATTTTTAAGATTCTTTTTTAGTCATTTTTCCTATAAAACATGCGTTAAACAAAAATAAAGAAATGTTCCTATCCGTGATTGTAGACCATTGAGCTCGCTGTCGTAGCAATAAATAAATAAGGAATAAATCATCAAGCCCCTCTCATTAGGGTTTAAAAAATTTGGATTACCTTTTTAAAAACAATTTTACTATGCATGAGATAAGTATGTAAAAAAAAATATTGTCTTAATTTACATAAAAATACTCTTTTTAAGTAATTTTGGGAGTAAGTAAACAGCAAAATTTCCATTTAAACAGGTCATGGAAAAGAAAGTCTAAATATTTTTAAATATTATTTAATGTTTTAAATGGTTTTGTAAAACATGTGGTCTAAAATATAAATTTTTGAGAAAATTAAGCTTTTAGTTCTCCAAGTTTAAACTGAGTTTTCAGTTAAAAAAAAACTTTAAACTTTCTTATAATTCAGTCCCGACTTAATTCTTGAACTTTTGACTGGCTTACAACTTCCTCATCTTTTAATTTTTTTTTATATTACTATCTTCATTGTTTATAACTGATCTTATCTCCCATGTTTGTCGGCAAAATCCTCATTAGCATCTTTTTCTTGAGCTCATATTGACACCAAGCATTTTAGTCAGAGCAGTCAGTAAAATTTTACTCTTTTGGTGAAGGAAAAAATAAATAAATAAAAATTGATATTCAACACCGTCCACGAAATTCCTCATCTATTAAGAAAAAAATTGATGGACACAACTATTGAAGAAAGCCATTTTATTATTTACTCTGAAACCATTTCTTTTTGTTTTTAAATAAAAAATATTTTGGCCCAAGTAGCTCTTAATTCGAAATATTGCCTTGAATGTGACATTCCATAAGAAGCTTTTAACTCAAAACTGTGCGAAGAGTATATAATACAAGCATTTAAGTGGAATAATGCTAACCCATAACATGTGATATCATTTAAGCAATTACATTTACACAACATCAAATCCGGGAAATATAAAAATTCTACTTCAGCACAATTTCCACAATTTATTCATTCATCAACAGAGTCAATAGTAATTAAAAGTCCTTTTAAAAGAGTTTAGCCCACAACTTCGAAGATTCCGTAAATGCACAAGAAATAGAATTTGGACTTGACCAGCAGCAGCAGCAACGTCTTTTCTTGAACACGTAACATAGCAGCGGCACGCACAAAAACATGATGAGGACTGCAAGAGAAAGTTAAAAAAAGAATAGTGGGGACCACAAGCCGCGTGAAACTATCCATGAAGAGAAGAACGGAGTTAAAGGTCATACCCTAATTTCGTTAAAACAGATGATCAGAAAGCCGATTGTTTATTCACTAGGCCAATAAACATCTGGTATGTGAGCAAGTCCTGGCCAATCCACACCCTCTAACTTCGGTCCGTATCTTTGCTTTAAAGCACAGCAACCACTGACACGAAATTGTTGCAATGATGTGAGCCTCTTTATTGAGTCTGGAAGTGATACCAAAGAAGTACAGCCAGAGAGGTCAAGAGACAGCAATGATGTGAGATTTTTGATAGACTCTGGAAGTGATACCAAAGAAGTGCAGCCAGAGAGATCAAGAGACTGCAATGATGTGACATTTGTGATGGACTCCAAAAGTGACACCAAAGAAGTGCAGCCAGAGAGGTCAAGAGACCGCAATGATGTGAGAATTCTGATGGACCCCGGAAGTGATGCCAAAGAAGTGCAGCCAGAGAGGTCAAGAGACCGCAATGATGTGAAATTTCCAATGGACTCCGGAAGTGATGCTAAAGAAGTGCAGTCAAAGAGGTAAAGAGACTGCAATGATGTGAGATTTCCGACGGACTCCGGAAGTGATGCCAAAGAAGTGCAGCCAGAGAGGTTAAGAGATTGCAATGATGTGAGATTTCCGATGGACTGTGGAAATAATGCCAAACAAGTGCAGTCAGAGAGGTCAAGAGACTGCAATGATGTGAGATTTCCGATGGACTCCGGAAGTAATGCCAAAGAAGTGCAACCAGAGAGGTCAAGAGACTGCAATGATGTGAGATTTCCGATGGACTCTAGAAGTGATGCCAAAAAAGTGCAGCCAGAGAGGTAAAGAGACCGCAATGATGTGAGATTTCCGATGGACTCATGAAGTGATGCCAAAGAAGTGCAGCCAGAGAGGTAAACAGACTGCAATGATGTGAGATTTCTGACAGACTCTGGAAGTGATGCCAAAGAAGTGCAGCTAGAGAGGTAAAGAGACTGCAATGATGTGAGATTTCCGATGGACTGTGGAAGTGATGCCAAAGAAGTGCAGCCAGAGAGGTAAAGAGACTGCAATGATGTGAGATTTCCGATAGACTCCGGAAGTGATGCCAAAGAAGTACAGCCAGAGAGGTAAACAGACTGCAATGATGTGAGATTTCCGATGGACTCCGGAAGTGATGCCAAAGAAGTGCAGCTAGAGAGTTTAAGAGACTGCAATGATGTGAGATTTCCGATGGACTCCGGAAGTGATGCCAAAGAAGTGCAGCGAGAGAGGTAAAGAGACTGCAATGATGTGAGATTTCCGATGGACTCCGGAAGTGATGCCAAAGAAGTGCAGTCAGAGAGGTCAAGAGACTGCAATGATGTGAGATTTCCGATGGACTCCGGAAGTGATACCAAAGAAGTGCAGCCAGAGAGGTAAAGAGACTGCAATGATGTGAGATTTCCGATAGACTCATAAAGTGATGCCAAAGAAGTGCAGCCAGAGAGGTAAAGAGACTGCAATGATGTGAGATTTCCGATGGACTCGGGAAGTGATGCCAAAGAAGTGCAGCCAGAGAGTTTAAGAGACTGCAATGATGTGAGATTTCCGATGGACTCCGGAAGTGATGCCAAAGAAGTGCAACGAGAAAGGTAAAGAGACTGCAATGATGTGAGATTTCCGATGGACTCCGGAAGTGATGCCAAAGAAGTGCAGTTAGAGAGGTCAACAGACTGCAATGATGTGAGATTTCCGATGGACTCCAGAAGTGATGCCAAAAAAGTGCAGCCAAAGAGGTAAAGAGACTGCAACAATGTGAGATTTCCGATGGACTCATGAAGTGATGCCAAAGAAGTGCAGCCACCGAGGTAAAGAGACTGCAATGATGTGAGATTTCCGATGGACTCCGGAAGTGATGCCAAAGAAGTGCAGCCAGAGAGTTTAAGAGACTGCAATGATGTGAGATTTCCGATGGACTCCGGAAGTGATGCCAAAGAAGTGCAGCCAGAGAGTTTAAGAGACTGCAATGATGTGAGATTTCCGATGGACTCCGGAAGTGATGCCAAAGAAGTGCAGCGAGAGAGGTAAAGAGACTGTAATGATGTGAGATTTCCGATGGACTCCGGAAGTGATGCCAAAGAAGTGCAGCGAGAGAGGTAAAGAGACTGCAATGATGTGAGATTTTCGATGGACTCGGGAAGTGATGCCAAAGAAGTGCAGCCAGAGAGGTCAAGAGACTGCAATGATGTAAGATTTTCGATGGACTGTGGAAGTGATGCCAAAGAAGTGCAGCCAGAGAGGTCAAGAGACTGCAATGATGTGAGATTTCCGATGGACTCATGAAGTGATGCCAAAGAAGTGCAGCCACAGAGGTAAAGAGACTGCAATGATGTGAGATTTCTGACAGACTCCGGAAGTGATGCCAAAGAAGTGCAGCTAGAGAGTTTAAGAGACTGCAATGATGTGAGATTTCCGATGGACTCCGGAAGTGATGCCAAAGAAGTGCAGCCAGAGAGGTCAAGAGACTGCAATGATGTGAGATTTTCGATGGACTTCGAAAGTGATGCCAAGGAAGTGCAGCCAGAAAGGTCAAGAGACTGTAATGATGTGAGATTTCCGATGGACTCTGAAAGTGATGTCAAAGAAGTACAGTCAGAGAGGTCAAGAGACCGCAATGATGTGAGATTTCTGATGGACTCTGGAAGTGATGCCAAAGAAGTGTAGCTAGATGGAAGTGATACCAAAGAAGTGCAGGCAGAGAGGTCAAGAGACTGCAATGATTTGAGATTTCTGATGGACTCTGGAAGTAATGCTAAAGAAATGCAGCGAGAGACATTAAGAGAATGCAATGATGTGAGATATCTGATAGACTCTGGAAGTGATGCCAAAGAAATACAGCTAGAGAGGTCAAGAGATTGTAATGATGTGAGATTTTTAATGGACTTTGGAAGTGATGCCAAAGATAAACAACTATTAAGTTTTAGGGTCAACAAGTTATACAACTTGGTGATTCCTCGTGGGAGCTTCTTGAGTTTACGATTCCTACTTAAATCAAGATATCTTAAATGCTTCAAGTCTCTGATACTCTCTGAAATTTTTAACTCTTGATCTACAAGAACCAATACACGTAAGTGCTTTGGAAGTGATGTTGTAGGCCCGCAAATTAGATTAAAAACTCTTGCCGAAGACTGACTCAAGATAAAATCCAAATGTCCTTGTAGGAACAAAATTGTTCTCATTCTTTTGGTGTTGGCATTACCAAGTGAAAACTTGCAGGCACCATGAAAATGACTTGACATATGACGAATCCCATCACCAAATTTCTCTTCTTCTGTTTTTTCACTTGTGACAATGTAACACTCATTTTTAGAGACTGATTGTGCTAGATCATGTATGAGATCATGCATCTTGCACGACTGTATGTCACCAGAATTATTTTCCTCCACATCTTGAAACAAGCACCTCGACAACAACTGCTTGAAATACTCATCACCAACATCTTCCAAGCGCCTATTTTTATCTAAGGGTTGAATGAACCCTTCAGCTATCCATAGTTGAATTAGTGTTTCTCTCTCAATCTTGTAATCTTTTGGAAACAAGGAGCAAAATGCAAAACAATTTTTCAAATAGAAGGGAAGATGATCATAACTAAGTTTAAGGATAGAAAAAATATTATTATTCTCATAATCTATATTTGCAAGTTCATTGTTCCTAAAAGATGACCACTCACTCACTTTTAAGGTAGCTTTGTTAAACAATAAGCTACCAATAGTTCTTATTGCAAGCGGAACTCCGTGACATTTTCTCACAATATCCTTTCCAATCCCTACCAACTTGTGATCAGCAGGTTCTTTTCCGTCCCGAAAAGCCACTCTACAAAATAGCTCCCAACAGTTATCTTCATCCAAATCCTTTAAGGAAAGAGGTGGATTTGTGCCCATTGTATCCGCCACTTCCATACTCCGTGTAGTGACAATGATCATACTTCCTTTTCTCCCATCTTTGAACAAGTTTTCTAATTTAAGCCATTCCCCACGATTCTTAATATTCCAAACGTCATCTAACACGAGTAGAAAACGCTTCTCCTTAATTTTATGTCTTAATAGTTCGAGGGTACCATCAGATGTTTCCTTCTTAATGATCTTTTGAGCTAACATGTTATTGGAAAGTTGATGTGATTCATCAGACACACTAACCCACATCATAGGCTCAAAATGATTTTTATCAGCCACATCATTATACACTTGTTGAGCAAGTGTCGTCTTCCCCAATCCTCCGATCCCAACTATGGGAATCACTGAGACATCATTTTTAACATTAGAGCTTAAAAGGGTACTAACAAGATGCATTCTTTCCTCATCTCTCCCGACAACATCTTGTTTGCTCACATCTGGGCCGATTCGTCTCCATTCACAAGACTCATTCGAAGTGCTCGAAGAGCTCTCATGCAATTGAAGTGGATTCTTCTCATTATAAATCTCATCTAGTTTCTTCCTAATTGCCCCAATCTTACAACCCATCTTATGAGCACAAACAAGTCGGTTTGATTTGGAGAAGAATATGCGTACCTCCTTCGCCATTTTATCTTTGGTCATCACTTCCCTTGCTAGCTCCTCGGCAGAGTAGGCATCCAACAAGTCTTCGGCATCAAGCAACATACCTCTCAGCTTTTGGAGCCAATCATTAATCGCTTCACTTTTCGTGGCCTTTCTCTCAGCGTCACGAAGCACGGCTTTAATTGCAGTGACTTTCCTCTTCATAGTCTCCAAATCATCTTGGAAGTTGCAAAGAAGGTCAAGCTCTTTAGCAGCTAAAGAACGCAGTAGCCCAATGACATTCTCAACAAGGGCTTCCATTGATGATCGATGGGAAACTCAAATGGAGTGTGATTGATGAGGAGAGTAATTGTAGTAAACACACATCTAAGTGAATAAAATTTGTGTAATAATCAGAGAAATAACAAGAAACTACAATGCTTGCATCAAAATATGGAGAGTTTCAGCAACTACACCTCAACAATTAGAATGAGAGAAGCAATAGTCTCAGATAGAGGGTGAATACGGACAGTGAGGAAGAAGGCCGCGTACAGAGAGAAGTTGTTCGATAACAAGTTACTCCTCTCCTATTTTATAAGGCACTTCCAACAAGTTCCATATAGATCAAGAAAAACCTTAAACTGCATTAACTCCTTATTAAAATATAGCAACTTTTCAACTTTACTCCTATTTAATATATACCTTTTTTAAAAAAATAACTATCTACATTATAATAAATGAAAGACAACATGGTAAAGTCATAGTAAAAAGTTAATGAGGTGCCCTATAAATAGGACAAAAAAAACCTTCTCTCTCTACCGTATAAATAGGACTAGAGGAGTAGATATCTTGACCAGCCGCTGGCTTTTTGGTTTTAGGTAGGAGTTTCTTTTCCTAGTTTGTCCCCCAAACCCCCAACCCCAAAAAAAAAAAAAAATTGAGGCTTGTTTTTGTATCTCAAAAAAATAAAAAACTTAGATAGCCTCTCCACATTTTTATAGTCCATTTCCATCTACTTGCTTAATCCACACACTTTATCAAATTGAAAAATTTTGATTCAAAATATAAGAGGTTGACAACATAATTAATTATAATCGTAGATGAGTAAATAAGATGGGTAAATTTTGAAACGGAGGAAGTATGTCAGTAGTCATTACTGTAGAAGGATCAGTAAAACAAATTCTAACAATCAGTGTTCATCCTAAATGACCTTCACTTGATTCTTTGAGATAATTTAATAATAAGAAAACATCAACTCCAATGTTTTGTGCAATAGCTTTTTTTTTGTTTGAGTAAAAAGCAAAATGATATTATGGTGATAACAGCAATTACAAAGTTTCAATAGTATATATGTATGTATAGCATTACCAGGCCTTTGAAGTGCCGGCACCAATTTAATAACCACTTTAATAAGAATAAAATTTAAAAAAAAGTGTTAATTTAATGTATTTTTTATATGTGAATATTTATTACAAGTGACAAACATAATGAGTATCGGAATGCTAAGTAGGCAAACAATATTGGAAAAAAATGCCAGGGTAGAGTGAAAAGCGGCACCGGGTGAAATGGGCCCTAGTCTCTGGCTTTATCCCTTGGCGTCAATGTGAAGCACTGAAGCAGACAATACATTCAATTTAGCACCTTTTTTCTTTGGCCTGACATGCAATTTATTACTCGACTAGCCTCCATCAATCATTTCGTGATACAGGCCGGACAATAATGAGTGCAACTGATGGAAAGAGGGGCACGCCTGTGCTTGTGGGACCGGAAGGGCTGGACAGCACTACCAGTAATAGAAGATGCACACCGATAGCAGAATTTCAAACTACTTGAGTGCAGCATTGGATTCTCTTGGGGAAAAAAAGGGGAAAAAAAAGAGAAAATGGTAAATAAAAACTTTAAAAATAAAAAATTTTTTAAATAAAACTTATTATAATATTAGTATTAATTTTGATAACAATTTAATACTTTTTGTTGAATTGGTCTCTGTACGCAATTTTTTACTTTTTAAGATTTTTTTAAAAAAAATAGTGGTTCAAATTTTATTAGAAAATCCCACTAAAAGAATCTAAAATAACGAAATCCTAAATCAGTAATTCCTACAAATTTCACAAATTATTCTTACATTTCTTTCTTCTCTAACTTCTTGAACGAAAATTAAATATGACTAAAAAAAAAAGAGAAAATCCATAAAAAACTTTTAAAATTTTGAAATCTTAAATTAGTGATGACTGATGACTACAAAAATATGCTGTCATTTCCTTTTCAAATATTATCAATTATTATTAAAATATAATAAACAAGACAAATTTGTAATTTTAAATTTTAAATTTTTTTTAAAGATTCTCTCGTTAAAAAATTATCATTAATAAATAATTTATATTTGAGATTAAAAAACTCATTTCCATTTAGCTTATAATAAGCAGCGGTTTAGAGTAGGGGTGTTCAAGGTCGGCCCGTCCCGGTTGACCCGTTCTTGTCCCGGTCTTATTGGGACGAGACAGATCCGTGCCGAAATTTTTCGGGACGGGACAAAAAAGGGACCGCGATGGGACGGGACGGGACGGGACACGGGACGGCCCCCATCCCGGTCCTTTTTTTTTTTATCCTATTTATATAATATCATTTTTTTTATATTTTTTTAAAATTTGAGACTATTGTATGGAACTATGAATATATTTATTTAGAGTTTTTATATTTGTTAATGATTTGAGATTATCGATGATTAGAATTTTTAGCAAGTTTTTATTGTGTGAAAAGCTTTTGTTTGGAGTTTTTAATGATTATTACATGTAATA